GAAGCGCTGCGCTTTGTGAATGGCCCGCCGCCTTCTGGGACCTGTCATGTGTCCCAGAAGACACCGGATCATTCACAAAGCGCAGCGCTTTCTCGCGCATGCGCAGTGGGCACCCGGCTGTCACAGAAGCCAGCGCGGGAAGACTGCAGCGCTGGAGCGAGGAACAGGTAAGGCCCTGCAGGAGAGAACAGCTGAGCGGCGGCCGGCCCGGTATTCTGACATGGTGGCAGCAGAAATACCGGACCGGCCACTTTATATTCGCTCCATAAGATGCACTGACATTTTTCCCCCCTTTTTTGGGGGAAAAAAGTGCGTCTTATGGAGCGAAAAATACGGTAATCCGTGATTTAAGAATGCAGTTTCCTCAGAAAGACATCATCTTCTCCAGACACTTCCCTTAGACCTCACAAACAGACCAGGGACCAGTGTATGAATCAAACAACGTACAAATTTTATTGTAGTAACTTACATATAAAACCGATAAAAACAGCTTCCAGATCATAAAAGGCTGTATATACAGCAATAATCCCCAGCGATGGCTCCAAAACGATGGTTCTTAAGCTCTAAAGGATGCCAGAAAGTCCCAAGGATATGACCAACCATGTGTTCCAGATTCCAAAATGGCCGCCACCGCACTTCCGGGAACGTCAATGCGTCACTACGTTACGTGCCCCGGACTCGTCACATCCGGACTTTGTCAACAGGGATATGTGGGTTTTACTTACTTTAGGGTAATTATGCATTTTTATTATGTTGTCTGCTGTGGTTTAAATGTTTTTTAGGTAATCCCTCACTATTGCCGTGGCACTGGAGTGTTTGCATGCTGCACGTGTGGCACTGTTTTTGAAACCTAAGATAATACACTTTCAATTTTTTTTTTCTTTTGAGGTATATGAAGAGTTTTTGGGGATTCATCACCAATTATCCGGAACAGTGTGTATTTATTGATCAAGATTGAGGACCTTTATATTTTTCCAAATTTTGGACTTTTTTTGGACTTTTTTTGGACTTTTTTTGGACTTTTTTTGGACTTTTTTTGGACTTTTTTTTTTTTGGACTTTTTGGACTTTTTTTTTTGGACCTTTTTTTTGGGACCTTTTTTTTTGGACTTTTTTTTTTGGACTTTTTTTTTTGGACTTTTTTTTTGGACTTTTTTTTTGGACTTTTTTTTTGGACTTTTTTTTTTGGACTTTTTTTTTGGACTTTTTTTTTGGACTTTTTTTTTGGACTTTTTTTTGGACTTTTTTTTGGACTTTTTTTTTGGACTTTTTTTTTGGACTTTTTTTTTGGACTTTTTTTTTGGACTTTTTTTTTGGACTTTTTTTTTTGGACTTTTTTTTTGGACTTTTTTTTTGGACTTTTTTTTTTGGACTTTTTTTTTGGACTTTTTTTTTGGACTTTGTATTTATTTAAGTCTTTTTGTATAATTTTCTTTTTATGTTGGTACTTCAGGGGAAGGATTGTGAAACGACTTAATTGGGTTTTATATTAAGGTGGGTTGTGTGCTGTCTCATTTGTATTATATTCTACTTCATATTTCAGCGTTTGCTAGACGAACCCACCTACACATTTTTTTATTTGGAGGCTTCAATGTTTGGGAAGTTTTTATCTTTGTTCCCGGGTTACACAACTCCTGTGGTCCTTCTTTTCCTCTGGAATAATTGTATGTACTATATTGTGTGGAGCAGGAAGACCCGCTGGAGATGGGAATTTTGGCGCTGAGGGTTTTTCACCAGTGTCCTTTAACTCCACGGTGATCAACTTTGTTACTATAGGGGGCCTCTGGTGCAGCTCCAGACATCAACAAAGGGCCACATGTGATGGTACAGAAAGCTGTCAGACTAGGAGTAATGCTACGGGAGATGGTCCAAGACTGCAGACATGCTACAAGACACGGTCAAAGGCTATGAGAATGTTTGTTTATAGGAGACGATCAAAATTGCAGGCATACTGTAAGAAATGGTAAGAAAAGCTGTTGGAGACTGGGGATATGCTTCAAGAGACTGTCGTAGAATAGAAACTGGGGATATGCTTCAGGAGACGGTCAGAGACTGGGGGATGTGCTTCGGCAGGCGGTCGTAGAACGGAGACCAATCTGCTTCGGCAGGCGGTCGTGGAACGGAGACCGGGCATCTGCTTCGGCAGGCGGTCGTGGAACGGAGACCGGGCATCTGCTTCGGCAGACGGTCGTGGAACGGAGACCGGGCATCTGCTTCGGCAGGCGGCGTGGAACGAGACCGGGCATCTGCTTCGGCAGGCGGTCGTGTGGGACGGAGACCTGGGCATCTGCTTCGGCAGGCGGTCGTGGGACGGAGACGGAGACCGGGCATCTGCTTCGGCAGGCGGTCGTGGGACGGAGACCGGGCATCTGCTTCGGCAGGCGGTCGTGGGACGGGGAGACCGGGCATCTGCTTCGGCAGGCGGTCGTGGGACGGAGACCGGGCATCTGCTTCGGCAGGCGGTCGTGGGACGGAGACCGGGCATCTGCTTCGGCAGGCGGTCGTGGGACGGAGACCGGGCATCTGCTTCGGCAGGCGGTCGTGGGACGGAGACCGGGCATCTGCTTCGGCAGGCGGTCGTGGGACGGAGACCGGGCATCTGCTTCGGCAGGCGGTCGTGGGACGGAGACCGGGCATCTGCTTCGGCAGGCGGTCGTGGGACGGAGACCGGGCATCTGCTTCGGCAGGCGGTCGTGGGACGGAGACCGGGGATGTTCTTTCATAAAATAAGGGGATTTACTTCAGGAGACGGTCATAAGTTATGTTCAGACTAGCCAGTGCTTTGAAAAGTGATCTGTGGTGGATCACCTTTCAGAGGGTGGCTAAACCATTGACTTGAATGGCCAAGTTTGACAGGCAGTGCCGCTGGTCAACTTGGGATGTCATGTTATATTTGCCATGGCTGTTGCATGTGAACAGCCTCCTATAGCTATTGTTTATCCTTTTGGGTGGGTAGGGGGCAGTAAAACCGTGGCTCCAGCCACCTGTTCTTAACCACTTGAGGTCCAGAGGATTTGCCCCCTTTAATGACTGGGCCTCTTTTTGCTACTCGGCGCTGCACTAATTCAACTGATAATTGCGCGGTCATGCAATGCTGCACCCAAACTAAATTTACGTCCTTTTTTTTTTCCACACAAATAGAGCTTTCTTTCGTTGGTATTTGATCACCTGTGCGCTTTTTATTTTTCACGCTATAAACAAAAAAAGGCCAAAGATTTTGAAGAAAAACAATATTTTTTTACTTTCAGCTATATAAAAAAATATAGTAAACTCAAAGTTGGTTATAAATTTTGGCCAAAATGTATTCTGCTCCATGTTTTTGGTAAAAAAAAATCCCAAGTAAGTGTATATTGATTGCTTTGTGTGGAAGTTATAGCGTCTACAAACTATGGTATAGATACTGCAATTTACGCCATTTTTTGCTATACAGCGCTGCGCTAGTTTAATGGACAATTGCGCGGTCATGCAATACGGTACATAAATGAAATTTACATCCTTTTTTTCCCCACAAATTGAGCTTTCTTTGGTGGTATTTGATTGCCTGTGCAGTTTTTATTTTTTGCACTATAAAAAAAAAAAAAGGCTGACAATTTTGAGGAAAAAAAAAACTATATTTTGGACTTTTTGCTATAAAACATGTCCAGTAAAAAAAAAAATGCAAAAATCAAATTTAGTCATAAATTTCTGCCAAAATGAATTCTGCGACACGTCTTTGCTAAGGCGGGACTGCTTCGGACATTCTGACATTAGGGGTTACTGACTTGGGGTCACTGACATCCCCAAAAACACTAATACAGTGATCAGAGCAAAAAAAAAAAACACTGACACTGTACTAATGGCACTGGGGAGGAAGGGGTTAACTTTATTTTGCAGGGAAGGGTTATCTGTGTGTGAGGGAGTGATTTACTAGGGAGCGGGGGTGTGCACTGCATGGGGACAGGCTGATCGAGAGAGAGAAACACTTCTTTCTCGATCAGCTCGTCCTCGAGCTGTCAGGGAAGTGACAGACAGCACAGCTACTGCAGCTGTGCTCTCTGTCACTGTTTGCCGTCGATCGCCGGTAAGGACCGGCTGTGACTCGGCGACTGGCATCCGCGGCGGTGATTGGCAGGACAGATAGGGGGCGCGCGCGCGCGTGGCGTGCCGCCGCCCTATCTGTTTACAAAAAAACGTGGTTTTGCCTGCCAGTGCCGCCCTGCCGCCGTATTTCTACAGTGGCTGGGCGGCAAGTGGTTAAACTGGAGACTAGGGTTGTGCTTCAGTTGTAGACTGGAGAGACATTACCTGAGACTGCTAGAGATCACTGCTATTACAGTCCCTTTCCAAATAATTTCTTCCATACTTGTGCCCCCAGCAGCCCCCTTAAAGGATAAGTTTACCTTTTTGGAACATGTTACATATTCCACCCATATTTAGGATGGGACATGTTCACGCTCCTACCACCATTGGCACCGGTCCCCCTCTTATTGTGGCAGCGGACAGCAGATTTTCTCCCAGAACCCGCTGTCACAATTCAAAAACATAATGGCTTCGTCATTCATTTACAAAATTCTCTGAATGAATGAACTACAACTACCGTCAGCCATTGTTGCTGGCAGCTTGTAGTTCTGAATGGAATGCGGGGGGCGCTGTTGAGCACTCTCGTAGTTCATTCACAAGCCTTGCAGCTTGTAAACAGCCTGTATGAAGGTATGGGGCAGAGCTTGTCTGTAGGAGCTGCACCTCTAATCCACTGATCACAGATGTTATGCTTTGCAGGGAGAAATAAAAATTGCACAATTTTTTTTCCTGCAGAAATACAGTATTTGCATTTATTTTTTTCCCCAAAAGGTGAGCTGATCCTTTTAAATCCCTCCATATAAGGAAATGACAGGCGCAAGGTGGTTCTCCCGTTCTGGGAGGACGTCATATGACGTCCTCCCATTCTAACCGCGCATGCGCGGCTCTGGGAGCGCGCAGCGCGGCGATTGGTGGTGTGCTCTGTCCCTCGGATGCAGCGGATCACCGATCCACGGAAAGAACCGAAGATGTCGGCTCGGTCATGTGATCAGCTGTGTCCAATCACAGCTGATCACATGTAAATAGGGAAATGCCAATTATTGGCATTTCTCTGCTCACGAGCTGTCACGCTGACAGAGGAGAGGAGAGCTGGCATTCCTCAGAGGGGACATCTACACTGATCATCCGGGCACTGATGATCAGTGTAGCCCCAGCAGTGCCACCTGTCAGTGCCCATCAATGCCAGCTGTCAGTGCCCATCAGTGCCACCTGCCAGTGCCCAGCAGTGCCACATCAATGCCACATATCAGTACCTACCAGTGCACATCAATGCCACATATCAGTACCTACCAGTGCACATCAATGCCACATATCAGTACCTACCAGTGCACATCAATGCCACATATCAGTGCCCATCTGAGCTGCCTTTCAGTGCCAGCCGGTGCAACCTATCAGTGCCAGTCGGTGCCGCCTATCAGTGCCATATATGAGTGCTGCCTTTCAGTGATGCCTGTCAATGCTCATCAGTGCCACCTGCCAGTGCCCATCAGTGCCACATCAATGCCACATATCAGTACCTACCAGTGCACATCAATGCCACATATCAGTGCCCATCTGAGCTGCCTTTCAGTGTTACCTATCAGTGCCAGTCGGTGCCGCCTATCAGTGCCATATATGAGTGCTGCCTTTCAGCGATGCCTGTCAATGCCCATCAGTGCCACCTATCAGCGTCCATCAGTGCAGCCTACCAGTGCCCTTCACTGCAGCCTCATTAGCGCACATCAGTGAAGGAGAAAAATCACTTATTTACAAAATTTTATAACAAAATCTAAGAAATTTTTTTTTTTTTTTTTTTTTTTTTTTTTTTAAATTTTCAGTGGTTTTTGGTTTAATAAACCCCAGAATCACCAAAAGAAAGCTCTATCTGTCTAAAAAAAAAAAAGATAAAAAATTCACATGGGTACAGTGTTGCATGACCGCACAATTGTCATTCAAAGTGCGACAGCGCTGAAAGCTGAAAATTGTCCTGGGCAGGAAGGGGGTAGAAGTGCCCTGTAGGTAAGTGGTTAAAAATTACTTGTACTATCTTTGATATTTCTCACAGCTTGGTCCATTGTAAAATATCAGATTTACATAAGAGAAATGGATAGACCGCACAGAAAAAAAAAGTGAAGTGAAGGGAAGAACACCAAACCATTTCCCTACCATGAGCCAGTGTGAAGGATGGTTCTTAACTGGAAAACACAGACTGCAGGGGCTGCAGCTTGGACACCAGGGCTCCAAGGGCTTATGCCCCATACACACGATGAGAATATCGGACAAACGATCGGCCGTTTTTTTTTTTTTTCACCTTCTAGTCTCACATCGAAAGTGAAAAGGTTACTAAAGATACGAAAATTCTCCTATGAAAGAAAAGAATTTCGAAAGTGATGTCATGTATTGCGTTGTATTGTATTTTCAGTCGACTACTGATTAAACGAAAATCGTACGATCTGGTATCGCGCGAGAAACATTTTTGCGCCTGTCCCTTCAGATATTGTCGTACGAACTGTCATGATCGGCTCTTGAAAGCTGTGTACTAACAATCCGATTATCGGACGATCGGTCCCTGTAGCGGCACATACATATTATGTGCAGCAATTGAGGACCCCTATGCCCAGTAGGCTGGCAACCACTAAGCTAATGCCCAGTACACACTAGAAGAAAATCGCACGAAAATTTTCGTACGATTTTCTTCTAGTGTGTACGGGGCATTAGCTTAGTGGTTGCCAGCCTACTGGGCATAGGGGTCCTCAATTGCTGCACATAATATGTATGTGCCGCTACAGGGGATTGTCCTAAATTACCAAACTGCTGGAGATGGTCAGCCTGATGACCTGCGCAATTACAGCTGAACTCTGGGGAAAAAAACCAGCAGTGGGGCGATGCAAGGTTCAACTCCTTGTTTATGCCTAGGAGACTAAAAAACTGTTTTGCTTACCTGATCTTCTGTTCCCTCAGGCTGCTCTGTGCTGCTAGATTGTTCCCTGCAGCCTGTTCTCCCCTGCACTGTGGTAGTCTAAGGTCCTCAAGACCGATGCAGATACCATAGCCTTGCATTGGACATGAGGACGCCTAGGAGCAATGCTATCTGCCAGGGGGGCGGGGGATCAGTTATGTAAAAGTGCTCTTGCTCTCCCCTAGACTAAACGAGCAGGTAGCCCTTGCAGTGCAGAGGCAGCCTTGCTGCAAGGAAGGTGTGTGTTTGTTGTTGTTGTTTGTTTGGTTTTTTGTGTTTGTCTTTTAATGCTAAATGGTTAGCACTTCTGCCTGGCAGTACTCGGGTCGTTGGTTCGAATCCCAGCCACGGCACCTCCTGCCTGGAGTTTGCATGTTCTCCTGTGCCTGCGTGGGTTTCCTCCAGGTACTCCGGTTTCCTCCCACACTCCAAAGACATGCTGGTAGGTGAATTGGCTCCTGTCTAAATTGTCCCTAGTATGTGTATGTATGAATGTGAGTTAGGGACCTTAGATTGTACGCCCCTTGAGGGTTAGGGACCTTAGATTGTACGCCCCTTGAGGGTTAGGGACCTTAGATTGTACGCCCCTTGAGGGTTAGGGACCTTAGATTGTACGCCCCTTGAGGGTTAGGGACCTTAGATTGTACGCCCCTTGAGGGTTAGGGACCTTAGATTGTACGCCCCTTGAGGGTTAGGGACCTTAGATTGTACGCCCCTTGAGGGTTAGGGACCTTAGATTGTACGCCCCTTGAGGGTTAGGGACCTTAGATTGTACGCCCCTTGAGGGTTAGGGACCTTAGATTGTACGCCCTTGAGGGTTAGGGGACCTTAGATTGTACGCCCCTTGAGGGTTAGGGACCTTAGACTGTACGCTCCTTGAGGGTTAGGGACCTTAGACTGTACGCCCCTTGAGGGTTAGGGACTGATGTGAATGTACAATATATATGTAAAGTGCTGCGTAAATTGACGGCGCTATATAAGTACCTGAAATAAATCAATAAATCTCTCTGGAGTTTTGCTTTAAATGCTGGAGATGAGTTATGCCCCGTACACACTAAAAGAAAATTTGAAGAACGATCGGCCGTTTTTAATTTTTTTTTTTTCTTCTGCCCCTCGATTGTTCTCAGATGGTTGAAAGCGATGTGCTTTTCTGCATGAGGAAAATATTGTATGATAGAGACATTGCGCACGAACGTTGGAGTGTAGCTGCGGAAGTGATGTAATGTACGTGTGACCCTGGAAGCCACACCTTTCAGTGCCGTTATTATCTCCCCATCAACGCATCTTTCCTGACAAATTGTCGGAATAGTTATGGATACCATTTCCGAATGTTAACCACTTCCAGTCCGGACACTTTCACCCCTTTCCTGTCCCCAGGCCAATTTTCAGCTTTCAGCGCTGTCGCACTTTGAATGACAATTGCGCGGTCATGCAACACTGTACCCATATGAATTTTTTTGAGAGACCGATAAAGCTTTATTTTGGTGGTATTTATTCACCACTGGGATTTTTATTTTTTTTTTTGCTATGTAAATGAAAGTCCAAAAATTTTGAATTTTTTTTCTAATAAAAATTTAGCAAATAATATTTCATCGTAAATCTTGGCCAAAATGTATTCCGTTATCTTTTTAGTAAAAAAAAAAAATAACCCAAATTGGTTTATAACCAAAAATTATGATTTTTAAACAATTTTTTTTTTTTACATACTGAGCAGTACAGTGTCACCATGGTGACACTGTACTAGGGGGGGGTGATAAAGATTTTTTTTTTTTTTTTTTTTTTTTACATTGATTGCTTTTACACACCCATAAAGGCTGTAAAAGCAATCATTTCTCCTTCTCTCTGGCTGCAATCTTGCAGCCATTGAGAAATACTGTGAGTGCTGTGATTGGACACAGCTTGTCATATTCACTATTGTGAATAGCCCTTTACCATGTGACCTCTGTGATCATTCACAGATTTCACACGTAGTAAGCAATGATGTCAGAAGTGACATCTTGCTTACTACTCTGCATGTGATCACTGATTGGCCAATCAGTGATCACATGATCGGGACCTTACACAGAGGTCCCGTCCGATCGGTGTTCCACTGTGTCTGGAGGACACAGCGGGCATCGGATCGCAATGCTGCGCGCTCCCAGGGGAGCGCGCACAAGCGGGGGGGCAGGGAGGCCATTTTATAAACGGCCACCCGACCCTGTACTGCCACCGTCCAGCCGTTTATATACAATGTCCGGACGACAAGTGGTTAATAATAAAATTCATTGTTGAAAATATATCATTTTTATTTGTGTTTTTTTGTTTTTTTTTACAACATTCGCGCGCGCGCGCACACACACACTCTCATTCATTCATTGTGATGTAGCGGCATATGTCATTTCTGTTTTGTGAGGGTGGGTTGAAGACAACTGTTTTACTGACATTAATGGCTATAATGCTTACGATTTATTCCGTGGTGTTTATTTTCTCCGGGTTCTTCCAGGTCATAAGCAGCTTCCAATTGTGCGTGGTCTTTCATATCCATTTCTTCTTGTACGAAAACGGTAGACATTAAACAAACCTCTATTAATAACTACACAAGTGAAGTCCAGACCCTAAAATGTTCTCAAAATAAATGCTAATTTTCTTTGCAGTGAAGAAATAAGTGTCCAAAGAATTGTAGTTCTTCCAATATTTTCCACAGCAATATACCCTCAAAAAAAGGAAAAAATCACAGTGCATTATCCTTTAACGATCATAAATATAGTGACATCACTCAGGTGACCTAAAACCAAAACAAAACTATTTTGTGTAAAAGTGAATAAAGTGAGAAAAACGGTGAATCCAAACAGTGAAAAACGTTGTGTATGTGAATCACTTTTCAGTGCTCCTATTCACACTAACACTGTGACACTTCTAATAGTGGCAAGGAATGCATACCCTTACCAATAATCAAAACCAAAGATGCTTTCAATATCATATATATGCTGGTGGGAGATGACCCTCTTGTAGAACTCCACAATATCTACATTCTCTTCATAGCGTATCCAGATCCATTAGTCATGATACTCCATGTATCCCCATATATCCGGCACCATATAGATGTAAACAATATGAGGGACAAAATAGTGTAATTCCGCCAAAAATGTTAAGATCCAATATACTTTAATATAAATGCTCACATTAATAACACTTTAAAATTGCATAAATACCAAGTAGAAACCTGCTGCCATCCAGGAAAAACATCCATAGATCTGAAGATGTGCTTTGCCCTTTTCCAAAATGGCCGCCAGCCAACTTCCGGGTCACGTGTGAGTCTTGACTTCACTTCCCTTGACGCGTTTCGTCATCAACTTAATCAAGCACTTTCTGTTTATCAATTGTTACATCTTCAGGGGTGAAGGTGTTGTTGGTGCTTTTGGGGGGGTGTTGATTGTACATTTATAGTATTAGGAAGTGTTTATAATTTTTATATATTAAACGAACATCGTTCATTCTGTTCCCAGACGACAAAAATTTTGCTGTGGGCCCCTTTGGTAATTTTCGTTTGGAAAGGTCTTAACCGACTGTCGAAAATGATGTACACGCCAGTTGTACAAATATGTTCGTCCAATTTTTATTGAATTATTTTTTTTTGTGTGTGTATGGGGCATTGGGCTCCATTCACACTAGGTTTTTTTCAAATCGCGGGTGGAATCTCTGCGATTTTTGCCTGCGATTTGTTTGAAAATGCGCTGTAAAAGTGTGAAAACTTGTGATGAAATGAATAGCACCTGAAAATACGATCGCATGTTTTCACACGTTTACAGTGCGTTTTTTCGAATCATGGTGATTCCGAATGGAGCCTGCTAGAGATGACTGCTATTATAGCTCCTTTAGGGCCCACTCACACTAGGAACTGAACATCTACTGCATGTTTTTTCCTTGTACCTATGCATGTTTTACATGCTGTTGACGCATATTTTTCTATCTGCATTTGTCTGTGAGGTCACTTCCTTCTTTCTTTCTGTGGACTTCTATGTGCACTGTGATACATTGCAGTGTGTTTGCTGTGCGGGAAAAATGCTGCATGCTGTACTTTTCTGCACTGTGCTGAAGTGCACTGCAATGGTGTGTACCAGGGCTTGAAATTTCCACTCGCCTGCTCGCCAATGGCGAGTGGAAATTTTTGGTGGGGGCGAGTGTGTCCCCCAGGGCCATCTTGCTGTTCAGGCCGGATCTGTCATTGGCACTGGGAGCCGTCAGACTGCTCAATAGCTGAGCGCAGTCAAAGCAAAGCAAGGAGTGTGTGCTGTGCTCTCTGCCTCCCCCTAGAATGCAGTACCCGGATCTGTGAGTGAACAACGAAGTACTGCAACTTTTTATGGGGAAGAGGGGGGGGGGGGGTTTGTGTGTCTGTATGCATGTACAATTGTACATGTGTCTGTGTGTGTGTGTATGTACATGTGTGTTTGTCTGTGTATGTATGTACATGTCTGTGTGTGTGTGTGTGTGTATGTATGTACATTATTATTATTATACTACAGGATTTATATAGCGTCCCGGAGACGGGCATGGGAGGAGGAGACCAGGGAACTAGAGAGTAGGAGGTCTTGTGAGGAGCAGAGAGTACGTTTTTGGGTGGTATTTGGATATTAGGTCAATGATGTAGTTTAGGGCAGTGTTATGGACAGCTTTATAAGTCAATGTTAGCATTTTTGAATTTTATCCGTTGGGCAATCGGAAGCCAGTGGAGGGATTGGCAGAAGGGGGGTGGCGGAGATGGAGCGGTTAGTAAGGTGGATGAGTCTGGCAGCAGCATTCAAGATAGATTGAAGTGGGGTAAGCCGATGAGGGAGTTACAGTAGTCGAGGCGTGATATGATGAGGGAGTGAATGAGTTGCTTAGTAATTTCTGGGGTTAGGAACGGTCATATTTTAGAGATGTTGCGGAGGTGGAGTCTGCATGAATTTGTCAGCGAATGGACTTGGGGTTGGAAGGACAGATTGGAGTCTAGGATGACATCCAGTACTTTGGCTTGAGGGGAGGGACTGATGTGATATGGTGTTTGTCTCTATGGAGAAGTCGGGAGGGGGGCGTGGGCTGGGGGGAAAACTAGGAGTTCAGTTTTTGGACAGATTTAGTTTGAGGAAGTGGAGTGACATCCAGTCTGATATGTCGATCAGTAGGCTTGTGACACGAGCGGAGACTGAGGGGGTGAGGTGAGGGGTAGAGAGATAGATTTGTGTGTCGTCGGCATAGAGGTGGTAGTTGAAGCCGTGAGAGTGTATCAGTTGGCCGAGGGAGGAGGAGTAGATGGAGAAGAGAAGGGGCCCGAGGACAGAGCCTTGAGGGACCCCAACAGAGAGGGGAGTGAGGGGGAGGTGGCAGCATTATAGGTAATGCTGAAAGAGCGTTGTAATAGGAGGAGAGCCAGGAGAGAGCGGAGTCTCTGATGCCAAGAGAGTGTAGTTTTTTGAGGAGGAGGGGGTGGTCAACTGTGTTGAAAGCTGCAGAGAGGTCGAGGAGTAGGAGCACTGAGTAGTGGCCATTAGCTTTGGCAGTTAGCAGGTCGTTGGTGAGTTTGAGTAAGGCGGTTTCGGTGGAGTGTAGGGGACGGAAGCCGGACTGTAGGGGATCGAGGAGGTTGTTGTCGGTGAGGTGGAAACTCAGGCGATTTTAGACTAAGCGCTCTAGGAGTTTGGATGTAAATGGCAGCACGGAGATGGGTCTAAGGTTGTTCGGGTCGGCGAGATCCAGGGAGGGTTTTTTTGGGAGTATGGGAGTGATGTGCGCGTGTTTTAGAGGGGAGGGTAATGTGCCAGTAGAGAGTGAAAAGTTAAAGATGTGTGTGAAGGAGCGTAGGCAGATCGTAGGAGTTGAGGGGACAGGGTCAAGGGGGCAGGTGGTGAGGCGGGCTTCAGAGAAGACCTTAGTGATCTCTTCTCTGTTTGTGTGTGTGTTTGTTGGTGGCGAGTAACTCTAAGGCCTGGCTAGTAGCTCTTGTGTGAACTATGCCGATAGGATAGCCTGGATTTTGGAATGTCTATGCAGCTGGAGTGCAGTCCAAAGATGAACCCGACTGCATCTGGTGTGAAAGGACCCTTACAGATTAGCTGACTGCAGGGGTCTGAGGGCCACTAATTGGACCCTGGAGACTTAGCTACATGGATAGCTTTAACTCCTTCACGTTTCCCTTTAAACAGATCGGTACACCCAGGGGACAGGAAGGATCAGTGATCATGTGACCACTTGATTGGAAGTTGGTCCTGCTGACTACTGATCTGTAGCCCAGACTTTCAGATGGGGCGGACCCGTCAGCAGTGGAGGATCTCTCCCCTGATCCCCGCTGAGCAAATGGATGACATTTATGTGTCCCCCCCCCAATGTATTTATTTCAGGTACTTGTATAGCGCCGTCAATGTACGCAGCGCTTTACATATATATTGTACATTCACATCAGTCCCTAACCCTCAAGGGGTTGTACAATCTAAGGTCCCTAACCCTCAAGGGGCGTACAATCTAAGGTCCCTAACCCTCAAGGGGTGTACAATCTAAGGTCCCTAACCCTCAAGGGGTGTACAATCTAAGGTCCCTAACCCTCAAGGGGTGTACAATCTAAGGTCCTAACCCTCAAGGGGCGTACAATCTAAGGTCCCTAACCCTCAAGGGGGTGTACAATCTAAGGTCCCTAACCCTCAAGGGGTGTACAATCTAAGGTCCCTAACCCTCAAGGGGTGTACAATCTAAGGTCCCTAACTCACATTCATACATACACATACCCCAATGATGCAGAGCGGACACAGCCTGCTGTATTCTATGGGGCAGTTAAATGGAAACTGACTACCTGTCCATTTCCACCCAATCTGATCTAACGGATGAGGAACGAATCCCCATCCATCTGTTTTTTAGCGTACAGGATCTGATTGGATGCCGCTGGGTGTCACCCGCCGCTCCATAGAGAGCTATGGATGGTCTGATCGGGTCAGTTTTTCAGGCTAACATTGTTTGGCCCTCAGACTCCCACCGCTCAATAGAGAGCTATGGATGCTCCAGTTGGCTCTGCCTGAAAAACTGACAGGCGGACCCGATCGCACCGTCGGTGTGAACGGGACCTAAGAGCTGTCTTTGAGAGCAGTAAGTACTTCTAATCACGTAAACATTGGCCACTAAGTGACGCTTCTGTGGTTCCCCCTTTTGCCGCCGCACATATGTGTTGGGTGGTCTTACAGGGTTTAATCATACATTGCAGTAAGACAGCCCGTTTTGGTGCTCCCACACATCTCACAATGCTGCTTACAGCAACGCATGTTTGTTTGCACTTTATGGTGCCGTAAAGCAAAGATGTGTTGTGGTTTGAAAGGCTCTGTATCCTGTGTTGTGCATTGTGGTAACATACCTCTGTTTGCCCCAATGCCACCTTCAGAACTACCTAAAGTCACATTGTAGACCAATCACGTGTTGTCTCTGTGAATGTATATGGACTCTTCATAGTATTGCGTTGCTATGTCTGTTGTTACTGTTCAGTCCTTTGTGTTCCTGTGTTCTGTTTGATGTGTCTGTGAAGGTTGCTTTTGCTGTGTGACTTCTCTGTTTTGCTGGCCTGTACCACTAGGTAGGAAATGTATGGTGTACATTACATAGGATGAGTGACTAGGTGACGGGGTGATTTGTTGTGAAATCTGAAGCTGGTGCTGTCTTGACTTGTGTGAGGTTGAATTTCGGTGATGAAATCTTTGGTGTATGTGTGTTAGAGCAAAGCTTCCCTTTTTATGTGGGGTTTGTTGTTGTAGTAACATGAGAGCATCCTCCGCTCACATGTGTCATAAAAAAAAAAACCTGAGCACACGGGTGGCTGCTTTTAAGTTGGTTGGACGTATGTGGGCAAACTGAGCCTTCATTTGAGAAACAGCAGGCATTCTTCAAGTGGTGTTAAACCCCCCCCCCCCCCAAATTTTTTTTATTTTATTGCAGATTTTTAAATCTCAGATGTGGTGGCATACGTTTAACCACTTGCCCTCCAGAGGATTTACCCCCCTTCCTGACCAGGCCATTTTTTTTTTTTTTTTGCGTTACGGCACTGCGTTACTTTAACTGACAATTGTGCGGTCATGCAACTCTGCACCCAAATTAAATTAACGTCCTTTTTTTCCCCCCTCAAATTGAGCTTTCTTTTGGTGGTATTTGATCACTCGTGTGTGTGGGTTTTTTTTTTTTTTTTTTTTTTGCGCTATAAGCAAAAAAATTAACCAATTTTGAAAAAAAAAAATCAATATTTTGGACTTTTTGCTATTAAACCTGTCCAGTAAAAAAATTTAAAAAAAATCAAGTTTTGTTATAAATTTAGGCCAAAATGTATTCTGCGACATGTCTTGTCCTGCGCTCCCGTGATGTCCCCCCTGCAGTGTCCCCGGAAATGTCCTCCGGCCGATGCCGGCATCTGTCTTCTGGGTTCCGTTCCCTGCGACGTCGGGACGTACGGGGGACGGAACTGCCAGGAAATTTGAAAATTGTAAAAGTCACATTCACTAAAATCACATAGTATAACATTCCTGTATAAAACCATTTCACATACATTTTGTCCCGAGTGCTTTGTCCGGCGCCCTGCCTGCATTTTGACTGTTCTTTCTGCCTGGAAACTGAGAAACGTCCATGGCGTCCAAAAAGCGTCCCTTTAGGTCAAAAGCGGTTTTAGACCGGCTAGAGAACAGCGATAGTAAATCAGAACCACTTGCAGAATTGAGTGATAATGATTCGTGGGGAAATTCCTCATCAGACACTGAAAACGATTCTGCGACTTTGCTCAGTGAATAAAATAAAAAAAAAAAAAACAATATTTTGGACTTTTTGCTATTAAACCTGTCCAGTAAAAAAATTTAAAAAAAATCAAGTTTTGTTATAAATTTAGGCCAAAATGTATTCTGCGACATGTCTTGTCCTGCGCTCCCGTGATGTCCCCCCTGCAGTGTCCCCGGAAATGTCCTCCGGCCGATGCCGGCATCTGTCTTCTGGGTTCCGTTCCCTGCGACGTCGGGACGTACGGGGGACGGAACTGCCAGGAAATTTGAAAATTGTAAAAGTGACATTCACTAAATACACTAAAATCACATAGTATAACATTCCTGTATCAAACCATTTCACATACATTTTGTCCCGAGTGCTTTGTCCGGCGCCCTGCCTGCATTTTGTCTGTTCTTTCTGCCTGGAAACTGAGAAACGTCCATGGCGTCCAAAAAGCGTCCCTTTAGGTCAGACGCGGTTTTAGACCGGCTAGAGAACAGCGATAGTAAATCAGAACCACTTGCAGAATTGAGTGATAATGATTCGTGGGGGAAATTCCTCATCAGACACTGAAAACGATTCTGCGACTTTGCTCAGCGATGTGTGAACTTGGCGCTATATTTCACATTTCAGTGTTTTCGGATTGATTATATTATTGAATTACATTTATT